TTATAATTCACTGCTTCCACTCCTATTCCTGTATCTTAATCCTTATGGTTGTAAAAAAGAAATCTCTCTTCAGCTTGTTCCTTGCACATCAAACTGATTTCTGTCCACAGCTAGGTCAGTCAGAGAGCAGTATTCATACCACCTAGCTGTAGATGCCTCTAGTACAGGTCTGTGTTTGTGTTAGTCAGCCTCAGACTCATTAAAGCAAAAGTAAGGCACCTCTTAAATATGGCTACCAGACCTGTGCTCCCATCTACAGTTGAATTTTTCAGGCTGTTCTGTTAGCAGAGGTATAACTTTATTTAACTGGCAATAAAGGAGCCTGTGATAACTATCTCAGATGTGGGTGTCTGTACCAATAGGCAAATTTGGTTAGATGAATCACACCTTGTTTTCATTTATTTACACAGTTTTCCTGAAAAAGGCTATTACGTTAATTTTGTCAAAACTACAAAAGCTTCTGATCTAGAACTGGGGCTGGGAAGGTGCTTGATATCAAGAGAAAGACTTTATTTCAGTTTCTGCCTAGTCACTGGAGAGGAACAACACTTTCAGGAAACAATCCCATCCTAAAGTAGACATCTAAAATAAGGCAGAAGAACTGTGCCCTAGAAATGCTAGTGCTGTCTGTAAACAGTTCTCAAGACCAGCTAGCTCAGAAATGGGCATGTACTTCTTAGTGAGTTTAACTCTGGCCATGCTGTAAGTTGTTGAGATAACAACTGTTTCACCCAGTTCATTAATGCCTCCTTAAGTCCCAGGTAAACCAGTCTGTGCTGTTTTATATATAGTAATTGTATATTGACTGAAAACTAGCTTCAGGACTTTGAGGAAAGACAATTATTGAAGTGTGTCATATGGAAATTCTTCACCCTACAGGTTGACAGACAACTTATTTTCCATTCATACTGATGCTGATAATCAAGGAGGAATGGTGAGATATGAAACAAACTTGTAGATGATATTGCATTGGGCATTGATGTGAAAAGTACACAAATGAAAGAAACGAGTAGATAGGTACGTACTCTGTGGGCAACACAAGGAAAGGAAGTAAACAAAGGACACTTGGAAACTAAGTTTAATGCATATACGAGGAGATGCAAAGAGATTCAGCTGCGGAGGAAGAACCAAGGAAGCAATAACACAAAGCCGTGTAAAGATAATAAAAGGGATAAGAAATGGGAAGTGAGGTAGTACTTTGCAGAACAGACTGACAAGCAAAACATGATAACATAAGCAAGATTAAGTCAGCAAGCAGGCAGGCATGTACTTCTTTATCTTCAAAATCGCATCTAAAATGTAGAATTTCAAACATAATGTAAAAAATACTTTGAGGACTATGTAGGTGCTGGGAAGGTGTAGCTAATTTAAAGAGTATAAGATCATTGAAGTTAACCAGAGAAGAGAATGAAAGATGAGGAAACTGAGTTGTGAGGTAGATGAAAATATGGACAGGTTGGCACACCTATACCTGCTGGATATAGATGCCAGTAACTCACTGCAATGTTGTTAATACCAAGCAGAGAAAGAAACCAAGTTAAAGAGTGGTGCTGAAATTTGAAACCTTCAGAAGAACAAGGCAGACATGGCATTAGAAAGTGAACAGAGTAAAACTGGATATGTCTTGATACTGGTATAAAGTCCTCATGGCCTAAACTGCTGCTTCCACAACAGTGGGAGCAGGTAACTCCAAAAGAGAATCTGGGGGCTGTAGCAGCTAAGGAGAAGGGCCTACTTCCTTCAGTTCAGTTAGATCAAGCGTGTTAGCTTGCATGTGGGATTTCACCGATAGGTTGTTAAGATGAGAGCACTGGTTGTACCACACCATTGATCCCTTTGGCTGTGGTTTCAGAGGTGCTAAAGGTTAAAAAGTCTGGCACTGACTACTGTTCTTCCCCAAAGCAGGTTTTCTGCATTTGACTTGTGCATCAGCTCTGGAAGACTCAGGACTGCTCGCATTTCCACCAGGACAGATAAACCTCTATAGTACAGAGACACCTCTGTATATGGTAGCCTCTACCCATTGTCTTAGCTTATTGTCTAGTTTGTTGACTCTAGACTTAAACACAAAAATGTGCTGTAAATTAGCTGTTACCCCTAAGAAACTAGCCTTTTGAGTCATTGTTTTGTCCCTCAAAACATTTTCCAGTATGAGCAAAAATTTGGAATGGACTGTTGGAAATTTTGGTTATCTGAGTAACCTAATCAGAAATCCCATGAAGTGGGCTTCATGGAATGATGCAGAAAAGGCAAAGAGTTAACCTAGGTAGGCCAACATGTCTTTTTAGATTGATTCGGGAGAGTATTGATACACAGATCTCTGAGAATTAAAACTTTACCACTTCTAAGTGCTTCATTAACTTCAATTTACAGGAAAGTCAAATTGCTTAAAATTTTGTCGATATTTTGAACTACAGTGATGTGGCCATTTGTATTGTTATTAAGAAAATTATAACAGAGTCCCAGTTTTTGTTCTTGACATTTTTCCTATCCCACAAATGATACTTTTCTTTAGTAATTTTAAGATTAGCTAGATTAGTGTGGCAGTGGAGTGAAGCATATTCTGGTTAAGGCTTGTACTTTCCATCAGAGATGATTTTTCTACGACTTTGGTGAAACTTTTGAAACTGGCTCCAGGCTTGGTTCTGGGTGTAGGAGAGAAGTCATTTTGTTGTCTCTTTCTGGACGTGGTTCATTATTGCACACCTTTCCACCGTCTGTTCTCTGATTCAGCTGGATAACAGTTACCTTAGAGTGGCAGGTGGGCTCTCCATCAGTGGAGGAAGGATGTTGACAATGGAATAGTAGACGAAAGCATTTGTAAAACTGGAACAACAAACAAACAATTCTAGACATAATTGCTAGGCAGGCTAAAATTCAGAGCATCTCTTTAACAGTTTTGAGGCAAGGAAATAATGGCTCATTAAGCTCGTTCTTTTTGCCCAAATGGGGGTTATATATTTTTCACCTGGAGTCTACGTATCTTGCAGATTAAGATTAAAGTTCACTTAAATTTGTGGACTTTTTCTTTGAAATTGATATGCTTAGCTTTTTTAAAACCATAGTCTCTGTAGCATGTAAAGCTGTAGAACATTCTGAAACACTTTCAGAACCTTTCATTTATGATAAAAGAAGATTTAATCACAGAAGTAATTGGTTTTCAGTTACTTCACACATCAAGCAGGGAAAAAATCATTTTGATAATCTAATGATACACAGCAGGAAGAACATAAGGTTCTTTTCATTAGCAAGCCATTGAAATCTCGGTGTTCCCAAACTGCAAACTGAACTTCAGAAAATGGCTTTGCTTAATTAAAGAACCAAAATAATTTTTTGTGTTAATTCATTTCACTTGTGAGAATTACCCAAAACACCTTTGATGCTTTATGATTCCAAAGCTGTTGTTTAAAAAAAAAAAAAAAAACAAACAAAAAAAAAAAAAAAAAAAAAACACTTCAGTTCTCATCTGTAAGTGCCAAGTGAGCAGAATTAGGACAGCTGGGAGTTGACAGTCACGTTCAACAGATAGGGATACCAGTACTACAACAAATGCCTCAATATGTTCGCTATATATTTTGATTTTTAAACGACATCTTTAAAAAGTTTTGGTGTCCAAGGCTTACTCAGTCATTTTCCTTTCATGTGGCTATATGAAACAGAAAAGACTCTTATAAGCTGTGATTGATGTGAAAGTGTTGCAGTTTTGACAGTGCTATTTATCAATATCTCATATAGTCCCTTTGAAAATGTGCAAATGCAACATTAAGATTTCTCTCATCTCAAATCTATAAAGACCTTCTGTTAGTACAGATTTACAGTTGTGCCGTGGGGAAGCAAAGTCTGCACAAGCACACCTGTCTTCCTTCTGAATCTGTCCTGATCTTGTTTTTCATCCTGAGCATGGGATAAGGAGAGTAGCAGCGTCTTAGGAGTGCACGTAAGGTTAAAGCTAACCTTTGGATGGCTTTAAACAGGAAATGAAATTCTTTATCACCTTTCTAAGCAGCTATTGGCAATGTTGGTGACAATCAGCTATTGACATGTGGCAGGAAAGAGTGAGTTGGTATTTTGTGGGTTCTTCCTTGCTGAGTAGGAGGTGGTATGGAGTTTTTCCTATCAACAGCACTGCTATAAGAGGTAATTCACTTTCCTCAGCCTCCGTCCATGAAACCCATTTGGAAAATTCTCTGAATCTGTGGGCTTTCATGCTACTAATACATGGCTGATGCTTCTCATTTATGACCTTCTGCGTGCATTTAGGCTGTCTTCTTGGCAACATCTTCCTGCCTATAGAGAAGGAAGTGGATGGAAAAAGTGAATTGGTTCAGTTCCAGTTTGAGAAAGACCAACTTTATAATATTCACCCAGGAAGATAGAAAAGGAATATCTGGATTTTCTATTTTTTATTTTTTTTTAGATCTCCTGTAGGCAGAGGTTAACAGTAGAAATACAAAGAGCTCCTTAAAAACAGATAACTGCTCTACGGTGTATGCATGTGATCTGTATTCTGCAAGGGAACATAAAGACCTAGTCTGTCTTGCTCAATAACTTCAAGAACTCGTGGTATATAGGAAAGACATGAAAAGTCATCAGGTGACTTTGTGCAGGTGCTTTAGGTCCCTGGTTCTTGAGGGATGTTTTGTGGACAAGCAGGATAGGGTAAATAGGGGGAGGTGGGAGAAAGCAGTCTCCTCATTCAGGGAGGCATGCTGGTATGCAAGACATTATAGGCTTTTTACACTTTCCTTGTTCTCAATGTACTACTCAGTTAACTCTACAGTCATCACAATCTTTATATATTGGTAACAAGTAAATGCTGCCCTAATAAAAAGAACGACACTTCTATAACTTCTATAAAATCATTAAGAGAAGTAATACTTTAAGGTGTACAACAATGAAGAAAAGCAAGAAGAAAAAAAAAAATACAACAGAAGACTGCAGGGCAACTTCTGAGAGACTGGTGAAATAAGGGGTTCACTCTTGTTTTCACTCTGTTCCAGGTATCCTCATCATGATGTCCATGTGTGACGAAGTGCATGTGTACGAGTACATCCCTTCAGTCCGACAGACCGACCTATGCCACTACCATGAACTCTACTATGATGCAGCTTGTACCTTAGGGGCCTATCACCCGCTGCTCTATGAGAAGCTGTTGGTGCAGAGAATGAACAAAGGTTTGCAGGATGACCTATATCGGAAGGGGAAGGTCATTTTGCCAGGATTCAAATCTGTCAAGTGCCCCAAACGAAATAATTTCCCACACTTGTAGAAGAGAGTCCTTCAGAAACAATGTGCAATAAGGTACTACTGTCGTACTATAAACAAGGAGAGAATACTTGAAAAATGTATCTTAGACCAATCTAGTCTTGAGTCTATAAATTGTAATTAACTAGCAGGCATGAGAAATACTTCTTTTCTGAGCCTGAGTATTTATTACTGCTTTGCAAATAATTAAAGAAAAAAAAAAGCTTAGCTTACGAAAGGTGCAGAGGACATACTTAGGCAGAAGTATAATGTATTGTTGTGGGTGTGACTGTCAGAATTCGTCAGTGGTCTCTTATGCCACATATGCTAAATTGTAACTTTTTTTTTTCTAAATGAATTTATTTAACTGTTAAATCTGGCATTGTGAAACAGCCTGTATTGTTCACGTACAGAGCTGCCAGCTGAACAATGCAGCATTTCTCATGGCTCCATGGGATTTTCACACTCACCAAGAATGAAGTAGTTGCTACTCTGAGCTGCGTTTTTATTGATTAGAGGAGATTTTAATTCCCATTCACACACAGGTTTAGTTACCGGCTTCCAACAGTATAGGGGGCCTTATGCTGGCTATAAAGTTGGTGCAGACACACAAACCAGCTAAATCAGTAAAACTACTGGATGTAGCTTTGGTCACACTGCTTTGGTCACAACATTGCTCACACTGTGTGAGGCAGAGGGAAATGAGAAATTTCTTGTTTCTATAGGAAGCAACAAATATTGTTAACTCATTCAGGAAAAAAAATCTCCCTGAGAGGCCCATGAAGAAAGTATAAGTGAGGGAAATGATACCTTCCCCTGGTCTGCACAGATACAAACTATCCAAAGAAAGCCAAGGGAGGTTGTGTAGCGCACATATCACACTGAAAGCAAATGTAGAGGGAGCTCACCTTTCTGCAGCAAAGATAGCATTCAAGATTATAGACATCATTTGTTAGGCATTTCATTGTGATACAAATCAATTTCACTTGCTCACAAGTTACTGCTGTTAAGAAAGTATAGGGAGTTGTCTGACAAAAGAAGAGGATGTCAGCTTTTTTATTATTATTATTTTTTATTTAACCTTTGAAAGGCTATACCCCAGAGAAGCTGTAATGCCTGAAAAACAAAACGAAACAAAAAAACAAACAAACAAAAAAAAACAACTGACAGTGGTTTGCATATGGAGATAATTTAATATTTTCCTTCGTAACACACAATGAGAGTATTCTCTAAGGCTGTTCCAAAAATCCACCTGAACACTAACACGTTTAAAACAGTACGACTTCAGTTTCAGGTTTCCTTATAGGCTGGAGGATTTGTTGATGTTGTCATTGTGTTATGCTTTTTTGCTTTGTCCTTTTTTTTTTTTTCTTTTTGTCATTGTTTTTTTTTTTTTTTTTTTTTCCCCACACAACTGTACCCTTTCTCTTAGGGTAAGTTCAGTAGAAAAGTATGTGTCCAAAACCACAGCTGTATCCTTTTCATGTCCATTCAGTAAAAATGCAAACAATTCAAAGAGGCGCTGAAAAGAGTAGCTGAGTTGAGTGGTTGTGGTGGAAAGTATCTTTTGTGTTTTGTCTTGAGCAACAGGAAGGCAATTAAAGAGCACAAATGGTATTAATGACTACTTCCTATTCAATAGTAATGTAAGTATCACCAGATAATTCTTTTTCTGTCACTCTGCTCTTAGGGACTGATGATTTTCAGTCCTCGGAAGTGAATAAAATGTCTTCTGGGGGGCTTAACTTTCTTTTCCTATATAGCCTCATAATTTGGGCTATATGATCCTCTAAGATTATTCTTGTTGACAGAAAGTGTGTCCAGATGGTCTAAAAACTGTACTTCTGTGCTGTGTGGATAATCATGTCCATGAATCGTTTTGGTACATATTGAAATGAATGGTTTTTATTTATGTTAGTCTTAGACTCTGGATATATTACATATCTTTTTTTTTTTTTTTTAATGTTATAAATCAGTAGCTTTTATTCTGAATAACGTTGTAATTTAATCTTGCAGAGAAAAGATAACCTACTTAGAGCTATCCTATTTTTCCATGTGCTTGGTAACCTGTTTGAAAAACATTTGAAGTCTGAACCAGTACTGTCAAATATGCCTCTCTCTCCAGTATGTTGGATTAGCTACAACATCTTTGTGAAGAAAGGAAGTTGATTACCTTTCTAGGACTAATGAATATACTATTTTTCCATAAATAGGAAATGATTAAGTTCTAAAAACAAAATCACTTTGGTCTGCAACCACTAACTTAAACTTTGTTTTCCATGAAGAAGAAAAATACTAACTGTATTACTCAACTACCCACAGTAGGATTATGTTGCATTACTCCATCAGTAATCTGTCAGAATAATCCACATAACTGTTGTACAGAACAGTGTGAATTTTACAAGGTCTCATGTAACAAGTGATGAACATACTTACTTAATACATCATTTAAATAATGATGCAGAACCAGGTCTGAGACATCAGAAAATTAACTGTATATTTTTAATTTACTGGACTTTGTGCATTCAAGCCCTTTCAGCAGAATCTTCTTCTTTGCTAGTATGCCAAGACTCTTTAACCTTTGAAGATAATTACTGCAACTGTTTCCAGGAGAACATGGTGTGTGCTTACCAGCTGCATCCTGACTTCTATACCAGTCAGTGCTCCTTCCACTAGTGCTGTGTGGGTGCTGTAGCATCACCTTAGAAGATGCCACAGAGCTGTGCTGCCAGCACTTACTTTCTTGCAACGGAGGAAGACCAACTTGTGATGCCCATCTTGAAAAAATAAGGACTCCAGGACTGGTTTCCACTGTGATGTCATTGGTCTGTCTGCTCAAACACCTGGTGGCTGCTTAAAGAGACTTTATCACTCTACCATGTCTTGTCCTTTTTTTGACACAAGTGCAAGTGCACTTGATTTGCTAACCAAGGGCTCACCTCCACTTTGTGCAACAGGGGAAGGGGCAGAAATGAAGAGGGAACATAAAGAACCTTCAGAGGTGCTACCTTCACCAGTGCATATGCTCTGCGGCTTTGGCATTGGTGGCGTTCATGGGAGCTCACCATGTATTTTTGCATTTACAGGCATTTCACTGTCCCTCAAGGGGGCAGAGAGGTCTTTACAAAGATTCAGTCAACTTGAAATGATGAGTGTGTAGTAACACTGAATCCACAATCTTTTAATAATAGTAACATGTGAGAGTGCTGGTTTTAGATACTTATATTAAATGCAGACAATGTGAAAGGAAATGCATTTTTCCACTCAGATATCACAGGGTTGTGTGGTGTGGTTTTTTTTCTTTTTCTTTTTCTGTTTTTGTTTGTTTGTTTGTTTGTTTGTTTTCTTCTTTAAAAAATAGAGATAGGCATGACTTTGTAGCCCTTCCGTGTGGCTACTGAACGCTAACAGAGAGGAATAGAACAATAGGCAATGGAGGTCTGCACAAGCCTGGCTCTTGACATGTGTCATCAGCAAAGCAAATGATAGGTGATTTCTGAGTTTCCTTCAGACGTGGTACAATGATGCAGGTTTTAAATGTATGGAGGTTTCCTGACAAGTAGGAATAAATTGCCTTCAAAAGCTTTAGAGACTCTTTTCTGTACCCTGGTGCTGTGGACAAAAGTTGCACTTAGTTGAAACAAAACAAACACAGCAGCATCCTAAGTAAATATGCTGAGTTCATGTTGAATTGCATTATGCTCTTTTTCCCACTGTGAATTCTTTTTTTACTTGTGGTGCTCTATCCTTTCATACATTCAGCCTTTGGATGGTTAAGTCAAGGTATTTTTCTGTTTATTAAAGAAAAATTGACAGATTTTGCCTCATTTTGAGCCAAAATCTTTCTATCAATAAATTATTAATTGTTCCATTCCTTTATAGTTCTAAAACTTAACCTGTGCATAAACTCACATTTCAGTTTAGTGTAATTCTTTAAATTAAACTACTAAATCTTAAGAAATATGTACATTAAGAGAGAAAGATTGTTTACACACTCTAATCTTCAATCTCTCTGTACAAATTTAACTAAATCATTGCTCGTCTTTGATCAGGACACTTTGTTTGATGAAAACATCCAAATTCTGAACTTGTTCCTGCAGATCTCTTGGCAAACTCAACAAAACAAAGAGAGTTTTTTATTTAAATTAAGACAAGTATCTACGCTACATGGTTGCACAGACGGAACTCAATCAGTTTGGAGGTCGATTGATCTAAAGAGGAGTTCAAAATAGATGTAGACCAGCTCAATGCATAATGATTTTTGTATTTTTATTTTTTTTTCCCATTTCCTTCCTCCTCAGCAGTTCTTAAGGATAGAAAATACCACTTGGACAGTGACATAGTTGTACCGTGAAAGGAATATTGAATGTATTGACTGCAAAAATAAATGGCTACTGCTTTTCCCTTCATGCTTTCTATAATTGATGAATATTAAATAAATTAAATTAATATTTGAAATAAGTAATTCAGAAGACTGTAATTAGAAGGCATCTAGATATTTCCTGGAAACTATCCTCTCACATGCAAGGAGGATACCTGATTTAACTGTTTGAAAATTAATGTAGCCCATGTCTGGGCATACCTGCATCGTTAAATGAATTCTAACACTATAAATTTCTTCTCTCTGCCTTAGTGATCAGATTCAGAGTTTTGTTCTTGAAATAAGCGTTGTGTGTAAAAGCCTTACATTTATCCATGTCATCTCATCACTCATAATATGTAGTCATCAAACTATTCAAATATAGACTGTGTACTTTTTTAATAGCTTTGAGAATTATTTTGTATGATAATTTTTTTAAATGAATGTGTACTCTAATAACAAAGCTTAAGATTTTACAGGAGTCACATTTTTAAGCAGTGTTTGTATACATTTTAACACTTTTTATATTTTCTATTATGATTTTGTATATTTTTATGTATGCAAAGTGTACAGATTTTTTCCTGTAAATAAAACATTGGTTTTCATTTGTTTAAGAGTACTGGTCTTTTCATACTGGCTTGAGTGAAGGACATTGAACTGTAGATGGCACGAAACAGGGAAAGTAAATGACATTGATCTCAAATTGAAATGGGCAGATAGGCTGGCAATTAGCTTTCAGTAAGCTATGGAAAATGGGAAAAGTTGTAAAGACAGTTTTATTCTAAAACGAATGCGTCTACCTGAACAGGTGCTCTAGGATTCCCCCAGGTGGACATATTATGCTGCTATAGCTTTGACAGTCAATTTCTTAGGATAGTCAAGCCGTCTAAGGAGACCGTGCTCTGGTTACTTGATGCTGCTAATAAACTTAAGTGGCTGTGCCATCCTTTCAAAGAATCCAGCATCATGTATTAGCATGAATAAAATTTTTAATTGATTATGAAATAAATGAAAAGCAACTTACCAAAGGGAAAGCATAAGTTACTATTCAGTCTGTGATGAAATACCATACAATGTAACCAATATAAGTCTGCGTAAATCCGTTAAAGTGAGGCATTCCACTGCTTTTGGTAGCCTTTGAATTATGCAGTGGCTGAAGTTGGGCTAACAGAGGTGGTATAAATTTTTTTCATCCCAGACAGTCACAATGAGTACATGCCTACAACAGAGTTAGTTGCACATCAGTAGAACATTAAGCATTTGATTGCCATCATGTAAACTCCTGGCAGCCAGTAATCATGCAGCTCATCCTTTGTATTACACCACCTCCTGGCAGGCAACATGGAGGGGATAATTACTATATGTCATGATTTGCAAGTAACACCTCTCAGAAAACTCAGAACAATGAGCTACACTAGGGGAAACTGAATACTGGGATGCATGGAAGAAGCAACTAATTAATGCTTTTCAAATCCTTCAGCTTTGCTTTTACTCTGTGCCTTTTTTACATACAGAAAAAAAAAATCGCTGTCTTGCATATGATAAAATGCTTATTAAACTTAATTGTTTATGACATGGGAGAAGACATTCTTGTCTCACAGCATGTCCCACATGCATACAGACTAGTACATCACTAGCAGGTGAAAACCTATGAACTATATTGGGTTGGGTACAGAGAATATCTTACTCTTCTCCCTAGTCTTTAGCAGTGATAACTATAGAGGAGGTGTGACACTATTTTTCTGATAGTATCTCAAGGAACCTCAGAGGCAACTGATTTTCAGGT